TGTGTGTGTGGTAGAGTGCTGTATGAATGTGTGTGTGTGTGTAGTAGAGTGCTGTATGAATGTGTGTGTGTGTGTGTGGTAGAGTGCTGTATGAATGTGTGTGTGTGTGTAGTAGAGTGCTGTATGAATGTGTGTGTGTGTGTGGTAGAGTGCTGTATGAATGTGTGTGTGGAGGTAAATGAGGTCACAGATTGTGTTGTAAAGAACTTTGAAGATGTTGATTTTATAGAACGGAGCTGTATAAGAACTGTCCGTTTACCGTTTAATGTCCAAATCACCGTTAGCACGAGTTGCTAGCAGTTCTCTGTTGCCATGGAAACAAGCAGCTTGTTCTAATTCAGTCCTTTTCTATATCAAATATTAAGGTAACATAGGAACATATTCTCTATAAATAAAGGGTAAATGAAAAGCACAAAAGGAGAAACAATAATCAAATGATGAGATAGAAGCAGAATCATAAGGCCTAGCACTGGTTGCCATAGTTTTCTTACCATGTGGTGAAGTTTATGACATTTATTTCAAGAAATAAAAGTCCATGTGTTGAGGCTGTGTTCTCACCTGATTGATCGTTATAGGAGAGAATATTAGTCTTTAAACAGCTGAAGTATTTTACTGGCTGAAGTAAAAACAAAGATCGGAGGTTACAGGACTGATAACTATTGTCTTTAAAAGCTTTTTTCTTTTGTGTTTCCTCAGTGGCCGAGCCAATTAAATGTCTAATTATTTAGCGGCTTGATTTTAATGAGATAACTTGTTGTTTCTGGGAAGATGGCAATAAATCGTTGATTAAAAAAACAAACTGGTTTAATTCACCAAAGCTCCTGGACTCTTTCAAAGTGTTTATTGGTACTTTTTCAGCACACGTTTGCCACAGATAAACAGTAGCTTATCTTTTGACGTCACCGTGTCTTCTCAGCTCTCTCAGATAGAAACGTTGAAACTTATCAGTGGTCCTGAGAGAGTCCAACCTGAGAGTAGAAATCAATGGAGGCTTGAAGCAGCTCTTTGTTGTTGCTTGGCAGTTTTTCTGTGACAGTCTCAGTCTGAAGGACCCCGAGTCATCGCTGCAGAAAGATCATCTCAGATTATTGGGTAACACATGTTTTACCCCTCTTCCTCTTTTCTTTACCATTTATCAGCTATTTCTAAATCGAAACTTAGATGTTTATCAAAATCAACTGAACAACTGAGCAGCAAATCCTTTTTCATTAACGAGTAACATGTAATGATTAAAGGTGCATGAAATAACAAGGGGTGGCCGCGAACTTTAACGTTAACCTTACTGAACAAGAGCGCATCAGCCTTAACGGCTACGGTTGTTTTTCATTCATTTATGATTATTGTATTTATTTTTTTAAATACTTATAGCAAAAAATGCTGTTACCAATCTTTTTATATTTAATTTGATTTCTGGAGATTATCAGGGGACACTCACATAACCACTGTTCTAATTTACTACAGTTTTTAAGATGTTTTTTTAGTCACATTTTGACCACGAATAAAATACAATTTAAAAAAAAAAAAAACTTAAATGACTACGTGAAAACTGATTTCTACAAAGAAATGCCAATTTAAAATTAAAATGTTAAAGTACTTTTAATAAGTAGTCACCGTCTTCAAAGCGACCGTCCTAATTCAACTCAGAAACAGATTATTGAAAAGTACAAGTCAGGATGGAAACAAAAACATTCCCAAGGTCCTAAACAGACCACGACGTTCCATCATCAAGAAATGGAAGGAATATGGAACATGTGCAAATCTACAAAGAACAAGCTGTCCTCACAAACTGAGTGACCGTGAAGGAGAACTGTGAGAGAGACCACTCTGAAGGTATTACATGCTTCAGAAGGTGAGATGGGAGAGACTGAGTATACACCAACTGTTGCCAGAGTTAGTCACCAGTCTAAGCTTTATAAGAGACTGTACATACATCACCT